ACTAACTCCCCCTTGCCTGGAAATAGACTAACTATTCTACTTGAAACTTGTGTTTCACAAGATGACATTTCTTCTCCCCATGACCCTCCCTCAACATCCCTCATTGCCTTTGGGCCAATAATTAGAGTCAGATCTAAGAACATTCTGTATTAATTAGGGAATAATCAGGAGACAGAAACTATATCAGTTACTTTAATAGGCAGAATTAAATATAAAGAATTGTTAGCCATCTATTGGAAAACCAGACAGGCAAAAGGGAACTATAATATACTAAGGAGGTAACAACAGTGAGAAGCAGCTACCACCCCTATGACTGGGAAGCAAAGCCATTAGAATTATAAAACATATAGATTTTGAATGAGATGCTCTGTGGACCTGAAACCAGATGTCTGTGGAGGTGATACTGTAGGCAGTGGAGTTCCTGAGCTCAGAAACTGAGCTCCTGAGTCCTATGGAATGGGATCCAGACCTCTGAGGGGATGCTGGTTGGCTGGTGCTGGGATCTCAGAGAGGAATGATGTATGCTAAGTTTGGTTCTATGAATGGTGGAAAAATGACAAACAGTAATCAATCATTGCTACTAGAATGAACTGCTGTCACCAGGATTAATCCTAGGATTAGGATTAGGAATAGGAATATAAAAAGGACAAGAATAGGAAAAAAAAAAAAAGGAATAGGAAGCAAACAGGAAGAAACAAATCCCTTTTTTCCCCTCCAGTCTCCTAGTCTAGCACCTCCTATCAACCAACCCTAACAAGGATTCATTTAGCAAAGAAGAAATTGGTTTGCAGAATCCCCACTCCAGCAGATTATGTATAGTGGGTGTGAAACTGAAAGAGAATAGCTTCACAATGGACATACAGTCTTGGCAGAAAAGTATAAGGTGTGCAGGAGTTCACTAATATATGTCAGAATCCAGGGCTGAGTGGATTCTGAGGCTGTTTGTCCTGAAGAAGATAGAATTGAATAGGACTGAATTCATTGGTATGGGCATACTCACTATGACTCGGGATTTAATGTTTTTGCAAGAACACCGAAAGTCAGTCCTAACAGTTTGCTGGAATGGCTCCTTGAAGCCTGACCCTGAAGAAGGTGTACAGAATATAAAGTGGCTATGCCTGAACTTCCTTCCACAGTGTTGAAGAAGAGACCAGGTAAGTAGGAATACTAAAGTGGAATTTTAGTATCTGGTCTGAGAAACCATGCTCTGACTATGTTCCTGGAGGGAACAAAGTACACTCCTTTTGCTAACACAGCAATGGACTCACAAGTGAAGAGAAGTAGCTATCACTGCAAAGCTTGGAAGTGGATGTCCTCTGTAAACTGGGTTGAAGGTGAGAGATGCTGTCAATGACATAGACTCCCTAATATCAGTGGGCAAGATAAGATCCCTAGAATGGCAGAGGCCAGGTTGGGAGAACTTAACCATTAGAGGCAAGGTGGACATAATTACTACAATGAACAGCAAAATCATAGTGGCAATCGGGGGTGCCTCAACCTTTGACCTTTAGGGATCTATCATGGTGGTTACTAGGTTAAGGTGTTTCTAGAGGCAAAAGAGGTGGATAATCAATCAGTATGTATATGTAATCATAGAGAATCAAGTGCTTGTGGGTAAAGGGCTGACATCAGCCACCATGGTGGAAAATCAACCTTTTTACCCAGGTCCAAGGTATTCATAAACCTAGTGTCCATTGATTGAATGGGAGTACTCTACAATCCCACTGCATGTACATGCTATAAACGTTATTCAGTCCTTCAGCAGGGAGACCTAGAGTCAGGAAAACTGCACACCAGCATATGAAATACCTTGACTTTTCAATAATTGTTAGATATGAGATCTAAGCTAACACAGACACCTGGAAAACCTAAACTCACCATGATATTTGGGCTATTACATAGGACAAGTGATCAATAGAGACTCTTACATAGGACAAGTGATCAATAGAGACTCTTTGGCATGAGTCTTTTTTATACTCTGTACCTATTTTTCTGTTTTGGGGTTGTTTTTTTTTTACTGTATAAATGGAAAAAACATTCCTAGCATCAGGGAGACCCTTCATATTGCTTTGAAATGTTTCTGCCATCTCACTGACTTTATAGGCCAGTGAATTTTATTCTCTATATATCATAATCTTGATGATAAATTTATACGGTGACGTGAGATCATGAAAACAGGGTCAGCTATATACACACATATTGAGATAGAAACCATTGGGTATGGTGGAATTTGCCTGTAGTCCCAGCAATTTGGGAAGCTGAGTTTCTTGAACCAAGGACTTTGTGTCCAGCCTGAGCAACATAGCAAGACTCCATCTATTTCTCTCTCTCTCTCCCTCTCTCTCTCTCTCTCTCTCTCTCTCTCTCTCTCTCTCCCTTGTTTAATCATCTAGCCCCAAATGGCAGACTCCCATCACTTAAACAACAAAAAAAGAAATGAAATAAAAAGAGAAATGAGTGAATGAAAACATCTAAAGGACAGTTACAAGTTCCCTGGGTAGGAAAGAACAGATGTACTGAGATAGAGGGTACAGTGTGGGCAAAGGCACGGAGGTGTGCAAATACATGGGAAGTATAAGCACTAGGATTCCCTAGAACCCTTCCACAATGAACATTTTCCATATAGAACGTTTCTTCACAGAATGCGTCTCTCAAAACAACGCTTCCCTGCCAGTATTTATATTAGAAAAATATTATATTTGTGTCCCACAACAGAACAAATTGTTTAACAAAGTGATGAGGGGAGTCCATGGAGAAAGTCTTCAGGTTTATTCTAAACACAATTGGCAGCAAATCAAAGTTCACAGAAGACAACAGGAAAGGTTCTAGCTGTCAACTGAGGGGACACACAGCATGCTATACAGGCAAAGCAGCAGCCAACCAGATTAACTGTTGGGTGGACAGTTTTAAATATTTCAAACTGTTTTGAATATTTTCATCCTTATTGTGCCACAAATAAGTAATACAAATATTTTAAAAATTTACATGCTAACATGTCTGTTGCTTATATATAAACATTTTACTGTGTTTTGTGTTTTAAGGAATTGTTTGAAGAGTTTTGGTTGTACTGTAATGCTCTACCTTTTTTCCCATTTAAAATAATAGAAATGAGGCTGCTGGTTAATGTCTTCTTGGCAATGATGTGAAGTGGGAGATGTCTGTATTTCTGTAAGGCAAGGGCTGGAGGGGGCAGAGGTAGACCTTGTATATGACCTGTGAAGGAGCCTGGACTTCAGACGGTAGTGAGTCAGAGGTTTGTATGCACAGCAGTGACATGTAGACATGTGTGTATTTTATCAACAGACTCGAGAGGAGTTTGAGTCCAGCCTGGACAACATAGTGAGGCCTAATCTCTAAAAATAATTTTTTTTAATTAAAAATAAAACATAAATAAATAAGTTCCATTTTGGTTAGTTTCAAACAGCCTTAATTGCTTTTAGCTTCTCTGGGACCAGGCAGATTGATGGGGGTTCATTAACCATTAGAGGCAAGGTGGACATAATTATTACAGTGAACAGCAAGGCCATAGTGGCAATCGGGGTGCCTCAATCTTTGACCTTCAGGGATCTATCAGAACTCCCCCAGTCCCCAGTGGGACTTTAGATGTGATTGCTATTCTAGTCTAGTATGCACATTAACCATAATGGACCCTGATAAATAAGTGGGGAAATACTCTTTTTTGAGAGAGAATATAAGTCTACAGAGGTAAGGAATTTTGTCTGTTTTATTCAACGATGAATCCTAGTTCAAGGAATAGTCCTGGAACTAACTGGAGCCCAGTAAATACTTGCTGAATTGAATCAAGTTGAGAGTCAGCCTTTTTGCAAGTTGAGTTTCCTGTTTCCTGTTCATTTCTAGGGCAGTCAGTGTGGTGCAGTGTGCATCCATCTTCCTCCCCCACTGATTCAACTCCAGCTCCTGGGCTTGGGGTGTGCACGAGGGCCTGTGTCCTGACCACCATGGCTGGGTGTGTGCTGGAGGGAAAACATGTCTTCTTCCACAGAAGGACTTGCATTCTGCCATCTTGGAACCTGGGTCTGACTGCTCTGGCCCCTCTCCCATGCCCAGAAACAGCAGGGGCAATTGCTTCACACAGGAGTCAAGCCCAATACTGCTGCAATCCATGCAGACAAAGCCCAGGGTACGGTACTGGTCCCAAAGGGCCTCCTTGGCTGGCCTACAACTGCATCCCATATCCAGCATGGAATCTGTGATCAGTAAATATTTGTTGCATGAAGAATGAAGGAATTAATGGCATAGCTGAATATTGTTACTGGGTCTCTCCTTCAGGTCTACCTCAGTTTCAAAATATATTTTAAAGAACATATTTCCTGGATCCTTGAAAAGTTTTCTCCATCAGAGGAACCTGCAGTCATAAACTGGCAGATTCGAGTGTTGTTCTGTTCCCGGGGAATACAGAATGGTAGACCTAATAGGACACCCCACCAGCACTTCTCCATTCCTTTAGTTATGCTGCAGTATTATGTGGGGTGAGGAAGAACTCTCCCAGGCCACGGTGCCCCAGATCCACCTCACAGAGAGCGTTTCTGGCTTCTTCCTGGAACTGGCAGTGGCCCTGGTCTGCCAAATTCTCATAGACTAGAAGGAAGCACAATTACGGTTCCTGTACTGCCCTTCTCCCAGGGGAAGACTTGCAACTCATTTTAATTCTACAGCCTGTCCTGGAAAACCCTTTCATCCATTCATTTATCCATTTATCCATTCCCTCCCATTTACCCAGCACCATCCTAGATTCTGGGTATATGTACTGCGTAGAGGAAACCAGGTTCAACTCCTGCCCTTGTCCCTGCTTCCCACTTCCCCCACTAAATCCTGCTAGAGCACTTCCACCCTTAGTGTGTCTTGCAACACTGAGACTTCTCCAGGGAGATGGGAATGTCCAGCCAGCAAATGCTCAGACCCTCCTTTCAAACGCACATGTACTCACAAGGACTGTGCTAAGTTCAGAGTTAAGACAGAGGCCAGTAGCAAACTGAACCACGGTTGTCTATTTTTGTTTTATTGGAACGCAACATAAAATCAAATAAATATTAACTTATCAAATTATTAATTATTTCATAAATAATATTAAGTTAACAGACATTTTACAGAATGTTACGTTAAATAAGAAAAATGCATATATCAATTTTGACTGGAACAAACTGGAGGAAAATACTTCAATGATTCTGATATCTGAACTGTATCTCAAATATTTTATGCATTCTGCTTGGTGAGATGAAGTATCAGTATGCCTAAAATGTTGACTTTGCCTCTGAGGTTTCATTACACTGAAAATTAAGTTCCCACCCTTTGTTGGCCTTCATTCTCTTTGCAATAAGACGTCCTCCTCCTCCAAACTCTTTGGCTACAATAAACCAGTTTCATCTCAACGTTCTATTGTCCATTCGGTGTTTATCACACCAAGAAACTCTTGCAGGTAGTCTATGAATTGCTTTACTCTCCGTCTTTCTTCTCCACACTTTTTCTGTGGAAAAAAATGGCAATAGGTATTGTAGAAAACTGTCAATTTTTGTAGAAATAGGTATAGCCAGTCAAATACCCCATATGGTTTTCACAGAACATTTGTAACTTACTTTTTGGAGGTCAATGTAATTTTTAATTGCAGATAAATTTTGGAATAGTTTTTCTACAGCATTCTCTTGTTCAGTTTGATTCTTCAGTGTGTCTATTCCCTGAAAGATTTCTTCAGTGCATAATTCGTGCTAAATGAGGAAGATTGTAAAAATGTAAATAATCAAAACAAGGTATAATAATTTGGTCTATTAGCCATTCCACAATGTATATATATTTCAAAACATCACATTGTACACAATAAATGTGCACAACTTTTACCTGTCAATTCAAAAAGTTGATCAATTTTAAAACAAAAATTTGGTCCAAAATGTTAGGCTTTGTTTTGTGGTCTTTACATGAGTTCCCTTCTCCAAAGAGTTTTTGGCTTGTTCCTTTTCCAAGTGGCAAACCACCTCATACTGAGATAAAATTTTCAAAAACAAGATGTAGTTTATATAATTACTGAGGAGTTTTACAAATGATAAAAAATAACTACTTAACCAGAAATAAAATGTTTTGGAAGTTTAGCACGATTACATTACTCATTGAACTCACGTCAGGGTTTCCTTTTATAGTTTTAACTGGTACTTTTATACTTAGACCAATGAAATGATGTATTTTACATTTTAATAAGACCAGGACATCTTCCAAATGTATACAATACCACTGTATCGTCATGTCACAATCATTTAAATGTGTAGAAATTATTAACATAGGGCATTTGTTATATATTTTAGTGACTGCTGATCATGATTCCAAAAATATAACTCTAAGTTGCTAATACTTTCAGAAAGATATTGGAGTCAGAAAGGTCACAGATAATCAGAACTCAATAGAGTGTAGCAAGCACTCAGTATGGAATTCTTCTAGAAAGAATCCTCGACACGAAGCTCTTTAGGATGGAGAACCTATGTTACCAAAGGACCTGATTCACTTGTTTAATGGATTCCACTTGTTGAAAAAGTCATTTCTAACATTCGTAAGCACACACATTTGCATCCACACATATGAAGACAAAATAGAGAGAATTGAATAGTTCCAGTGATCACTAATGATATGTGGCTTAAAATATAAGATTTACTTATTTATGCAATCATTTTATTGAATCATAATTTAACTTACATGTTTATGTACAGGAACAGGAATCCTCAGAGTCTGAAAAGGAACAGAAATAAAATCATTTTTAAAGCACTCCAGCATTTATAACTTTTAATAGAATGCTTGCTAGTGATAGGGATATCTATCTATGTATTACTAACATGTTCAGAATTCTATTATTTATGAGATCTTTATATATAGTAAATAACTACCACAAATTAGTACCTATGCATTTTAAAGACTGTAAGAATCAAAAAGAAAATTACCTCATTGTCTATCAGCAGAGCTCGATGGGTGGAAAGCAGTGCCAAGGTCTCTTTCACCAGTGTACTCATGGGACTTTCTGTGGGAATGGCACAAACGTAGGCAGCTCCAAGAGCTAGCAAACTCAGATGCAGAAGCACCCTCATGGCTCTGAAATGCTCAACGTTTGCCTTTGGCAAAGAAAGTGCCTATTGCAATATTGCATAGCCAACCAATTTATTCTCTTTCTTTGAGGAAATGAATAATTCTAACAATCAGATAGAGAACACCTAGAAATGGCATATTGTGAAAGTAAATGTTTCCAATGCCCTGTATCTTAGAAAATAAATTTATGTTTATCTTTCAATAATAAAAATCCCTATTTTCCCCCTTTCAAAAACATTTTCCATTACAAAAGAAAATCTTTGGGTTGATACATCATTGCCCCACATTTGCATTTCTTAAAATCATACATAAATGTTGGGAATGTTTTTTTAGATTGTTCTGTCTTAAAAGAAATGGAAAATACTGGTGGGAAGATAGTGATCACAATAGAGACTACCAAAACTTGGCAGAGTCAAGTTGCGTTTAGTAGGGTCTTGATTAGAATCCTTTCTGTTGTCAGTGACTAAAAACTTAATCATATAACCAGACAGTCCAGGAATGGAGTCGCCTTTATATCTTACTTGCTTCAGTGACTCTTCCTTGACTTTATTCTCAGGCAGTTCACCCACTGAGGTCCCAAGATGATGTCTAGACTCCAGGATCTGTATGTATTCAGTTCATGAGCAACAGGAAAAAGCAAGCGTGCTTTTCTAGCTGCTCAGTCCAAATCCCTAGAATTCAGTCTCTTTCTGACAAGGGTCACAAGTTCACCCTTGAACTGGGACCGAGGTATGGGATCTACTGATCGGCTCTCCCAGAAGCTAGAGGTGGACCTCATCCCACCTAAACTGCATAGCTGAGGAATGTAGGATCCTACATAGTAGTAGTGAGAGGGAGACACCAGTGCTGGGACGGCAACCCATAAATATCTGTCACAGACACATAACACATGGATGTAGCCTCTCTGTTGTGTCCCACAAGGGTCGGGCTGGGTGGACCATGTATTTGTAACTGGGGAAAACAGCCATGGTTCCTTAAGGCTCAGACCTGTAATCCCAGAAAGCAGCAAATAAGGCTCCTTTCCAGACCACACTCTCCCTTCTTCCCTGGCCTGAGCACACATGATGGAGGTGTTGGTCATTGCTTTTATCAGAGGGTTTCGGGGAGCATCCCAAGGTGGTTCTGTGTTGGCAGCCTAGAAGCCTGACTTTAGAACTGTCCTGAGCATCTAGGACAGACCATTCAGAACACAAATTGCTACCCAGAATCCTCTTCCAAAGCTGAATGCAGATCTCTATAAGAAGCAGAGGCAGCTGGAAGGCAGGCACAACTTTAATACGACTGTAATCCGAGCTCTCCACTGGTAGGATATAAGTAGTGTAGGATTTCAGTGGCAGCCTTCCTGTGTCATGTCTGGTTTTGTACATGCTGAAGTTTGGGGGTCTTTGTTAGACGTGTCTGATTAAGAAATGTTTTCCTTGAGACTGTTGGAGAGATCACTACTAATTTATCAGAAGATAAGAAAAAAAAATCACAGTAGGCTTGGTCAAGGTGCTCTTAAAATGGTTCTCTCAGAATGGAAGCTGGGTTCTAGTAGGACCTTCTCTGTCAGAGAAGGTTATAAGAAGGATATGAGTGAGTTCTCTCTGGTTCCCCAGATGTCTTTGGGTTACACTGAGGAAATATGAGCTCAGATAAAGGTTTTAGAGAAATTGTCAAACAACTTATTTTAGTGCCTTAACTATACAAAGTTCTGAATGCTTGAATTTTTTTCATGAGGCCACCCAGGCAATCTAGGTAGCAGCAAATTGAGAAACCACTGTACTAACCTTCACTAAGTCATCACGCTTATTATTTTTAGGGGAGTAATACTGGCTGGTGATGAAAATGAGTGGAAAAGGCCAGGTGCGGTGGCTCAGTCTGTAATTCCAGCACTTTGGGAGGCTGAGGTGAGCAGATTGCCTGAACCCATGGGTTCTAGCATGGCCTGTGCAACTTGGCGAGACCTCATCTCTACAGTAAATAAAAAAATTAGCCAGACGTGGTAGCCTGTAGTTTCGGCTACTTGGAAGGCTGAGGTGGAAGGATCGCTAGAGCCCAACAGGTTGATGCGGGGGTGGCGGTGAGCGTGTCACTGCACTCCAGCCTGGGCGACAGAGCAAGACTCCAATTCAAAAAAAAAAAAAAGAAGAAAAAAAGAAAAGAAAGCGAGTGGTGGAATGGGCAGGGTGTAACATGACAAAGGTGGTGGGGTCTACATAAGGTGGAAGGTGCCATTCAGCTCCAACGGAAAGTTGTCACATGACACACTAGGGCTTATGTTGCCAGGTCATCCGGTTTTTAAAAGAAGCCTGAAATCCTGAATATTATATATAATCTCCTGATTTTCAAATGTTGGCAACTACATAGTGTGCCATTTTGTAGTCTCTGTTTTACAGTAGAACAATGAGTTCCTGTTGGAAGGATAGTTATTTAAAAACTGTTATTTAAAATAGTACTTTTGGGGGGTTAATTTTTTGCAGAGATGGGGCTCTTGCTATGTTGCCCTAGGCTGGTCTTGAACTCCTGGGCTCAAGTAGCCATCCTGCCTCAGTTTTCCAAAGTGCTGGAATTTCAGGTGCGAGCCACAAAGCCCAGCTCAAAATTGTATTTCTTAAAAAAATTTTTGATTGGAGTAAAATGCACATAACATACAATTTACTGTCTGAACCAGTTTTTTTCAGGACCCCAGCTGGTTAGACTGAACTATCTGAGCCATTTTTAAGTGGACAGTTCAGTCAAGTACATTTATAATGTACAATACATCTCCAGAGTTCTTTTCATCTTGCAAACTGAAACTCTATACCCACTAAAAACAGCTCCCAATCCCCTCTTCTCCCAGCATCTTGCAACCACTCTTCTACTTTCTGTCTTTATGAATTTGACTCCTCTAGGTACCTCATATAATCATGCAGTATTTGTCTTTTTTATGACTGGCTTATTTCATTTTGCATAATGTCTGCCAAGGTTCTTCCACGTTGTAGCATATGTCAGAATTGCCTTCCTTTTTAAAACTGAATAATATTCTATTGTATGTATAAACTATATTTTGTTTATTCCTTCATCTGTTGATGGACACTAAGGTTGCTTCCATTTTTTGTCTATTGTGAATAATGCTGCCATGAACATGGATGTAAAAAAATTATATTTCTTACAAAGTTCTCACAAGTAATTAACTTTTCCTCTATAAGTCTGATCTCCCCAACCTGACTATAAACTCTCCCAGAGTAGGGAATGCAAAACAACGTATTTGGAGGAGCTTTATTCTTATTTTTATTTTTTTGAGTTAGAGTCTCACTCTGTCACCCAGACTGGTCTCAAATCTCTGGGCTCAAGCAATTCTCTCACCTCTGTCTCCCAACGTGCTGGGATTACAGGCGTGAGCCACCATGCGCAGCAAGATAAAGTGCCTTTCTAACTACATCTTTTTCAAAGTACGTGCCATTAACATGACTTATTGCCTTGTTGTCCTGGATCACCAAGTTAAGGTAGTGTTTATTAAGTTTTTCCAATGCACAGTTACACTTCTTATTCTTCCCCTTTGCATATTGTTCTCTTTAAAAACAAAGTCACTCTGTGCAGCCCACACTTAAGGAAAGAGGGATTATGCTCCTTCTATTTGAGAGAGTGGTGTATCTATATGAATTATTTGGAATTATTTTGCACAGGAGATTAAAATCATCAACTGTTGTTCGGAGTTTTACATTAATAAAGCTCCTTCGCCGGGCTCAGTGGCTCAGCCTGTAATCCCAGTGCTTTGGGAGGCCGAGGCGAGTGGATTGCCTGAGCCCGTGGGTTCGAGACCCACCTGGGCAACTTGGTGAGACCTCATCTCTACAATAAATCAAAAAATTAGCCAGGCGTGGTAGTGCGTGCCTGTAACTCCGGCTACTCGAAAGGCTGAGGCGGAAGGATCGCCGGAGCCCAGTGGGTCGAGGCTGCAGTAGCCAGGGTCATGTCACTACCGTACTCCAGCCTGGGCAACAGAGTGAGACTCTGACTCACACAAACAAAAAAAAGAATGACTCTTTATCTCTGTCATCTTCCTTCCAAAAACCCATAACCTCTGTCTAGCCATGAGAAAAACACTACACATACTCAGATGGAAAGATAAAATGACTGACCAGTACTCCTCGAAACTGTTAGGGTCATCATAAAGAAGCAGAGTCTAAGAAATTATCACAGTCAAGAGACCTCTGAAAGACAAGATGACAAAATGTAATGTGGCATCCTGGATGAAATCCAGGGACAATAAGTAAAACTTAGGAAATTTGGGGGGGAAATGGAGTTTAATAATGTACAAATAGTGGTTCCTTAGTTGTGACAGATGTACCATAATAATGATAACAATGGGGGAAATTGGGCACAAAGTCCACTGGAATTCCCTATAATATCCTTTTTTTTTTCAGCTGGAGTCTCACTCTGTCACCCAGACTGGAGTGCAGTGGCCGCTCCCGGCCACCGCAGCCTCGACCTGCTGGGCTCCGGCGATCCTTCCGCCTCAGCCTTCCGAGTAGCCGGAATTACAGGCACGCGCTACCACGCCTGGCTGATTTTTTGATTTATTGTAGAGATGAGGTCTCGCTGCCCAGGCAGGTCTCAAACCCGTGGGCTCAGGCAATCCACTCACCTCAGCCTCCAAAGGCGTGGGATTACAGCCTGAGCCACCGAGCCCAGCAACTATAATATTCTTAAAACTTTTCTGTAAGTCTAAATTACTTAAAATAAAAAGTATATTCAAATAATACTGCAAATTGAACAAAGTTAATGATTGTTTTTACCACTATTATTAAAAAGACTTTGCTTGGGAGGCACACAGTGAGAGCCCATCTCAAGAAAATTTCAAGAAGGACTTTGTATTCCATGAATGTTGTGTTGTTGGGACACTTTTACTTCTCCACTAGACAGTACACTCATTGAAAGTAAGGTTTTCATTTAATTGATCTCTTTATCCTCAGGGACTAGCCTATTGTAGGCACTCAATGTTTGTTGAATAAGTAACTGAATGAACAAGCAGGCACTTGGTGGCACTAGGTGAACAAATTAATGTGGATACAGC